GCCCCTGCGAGGTCTCGGCGCCCAGCGCCCTCGCCTTGGCCTCGCGGAAGCAGGAGTTCCCTGCCACCGCCGCGTCGAAGGCCCCCTCCACGTCTCTCGACCAGTGCCTGACTGGCTCGCGATTGAGCAGCTCCCAGGTTCTGGCGAACCAGGTCAGCAGTGCCAGCGCGCGGTCTCCTCCGCCCGTCAGGGCGGTGCTGTCCTGCTTCTCGCCGCCCTTCGGTTGTGGCGTGACCAGGGCCTGCAGCGCCTGCGATGGCCGCGCAATCTTCTCGTCGCGGCCGTTGCGCAGCCTCGCGACTGCCTCGCTGCCAATGGGCGGTAGCCATCTGACTGACGTCGTCCATGTTCATCTGGTCTGCGCCCTTGCCCCTGTTGGGCGCCCCACCGCCGCGTCGAAGGCATCGAGCGCCCAGCGAGGCGCGGGCGCCTCCTTCGCGCCCCCCCTCAGGTCGTTCAGCGCCCCGGCAGCGCCCAAGTGGCCGGCGCTGTCCATCCACTTGGTCTCGAAGCCTTTGGCCTTCAGGTCCACGCTCTCCATATGGCTCGAGGCCTTCACCCCGCACCTGATGGACTCGTGCTCGTGCCTCCTCTGCGGCTGGGTGACCCTGTGCAACGCTCCTGGCGTCGATGATGGAGCATTCGCCAACCATAGTGCGTGCCCTTGCGCACCTCGCCGCAGGTCGTCTCGCGGAGACAATGTCACCTCTTGGGCGGCCTGGGTCACCATGCCGTCGAGCATGTCCAAGTCTACCTCTTCTATATTCTTGATACGTTGGCCCCAGTTTCCCCTGGGCAGCTTGGCCGTGTTGGATGCCTTCTTGCCTGCTGCGCGGACCTCCGTTGAGCGTTAGTCTCCTGCGCCCTTGGCTGAGCTAGGCTCTCTCCGCCTTGCCCTTATCTTTCCGCGCCAACTTCGCGCGCGTGGCCAGAGCCGCGCGCCCTTCCCAACAAGTCGGTCCTGCCAGCGCTGTTGTGGATCCTCCTCTGTCGGCCTCCGCGAACTTGTGCCCGACACCTCTGCCTGTGTACTTGTTGCGATCTCCACTGGGATCTTGTAGGCCTCGCAGTAGAAGCGCTCCATGGCGCTGAGCAAGTGGCCGTGATCCCCCACCAGCGCAATATCTATAGCCTTGTTCCCGGTTGCCTGGAAAGCTGCGCAGCCCTCGATGTACTCTTGCTGGCACCCCTGGGGTCCGTTGGCCTGCCTAGGAGCTGGACAGCAAGCGCCAGAGGTCCTCCATGTCGATGGTGTTCACCTCCTCGCTCGCGCGTTTCCGTCACAAGCTCGCACTCATGTCCTCAACGCCCAGCTGATAGAACTCGGTGCCGGCACCGACCTGGCCAGTAGCCTCAGTCCCAGGAGGTTGGCTCCATCCTGTTCTCGAGGCTGCTGGGCGAGGAGCTGCAAGATTAGCAGTCGCGCCACTCGTATCTCCTCCTGATATTCTCTCAAGGGCCTCCAACGGCTGTCGCTCGTCCAGCTGCTCGGGGGGGTCCTCCAATACCTGGTCCCAGGTGTCGCCGTTCTGCAAGATCAGGTCTCCTTCTGGGTTGTCGATGCCATGCGCAGCAGCCCCGCGTCGAGGTCTGTCAAGGTGGCCAGTTTGCTCCACCGTTGCCTCCTGCTGCTGTGCGTTTAGGCCAGGGTGGCCATGACGCTGGGCCGCCTTGGCGCGACCACCCCGCCCCCCTATCATCTCCTTGCTCAGGTCTCTGCTGGGCATCATCGGGTAGCAGGTCCATCCGAGAGGTGCGATGGCCTCCCATCTGGAGTTGTTCGCCGCGTCGCATGCCGAACAGTCAGTGCCCACTTCACACGCGTGGTGCTCAGCCTCGTGTGCTGCTCTGTTCTGCTGCCGCTGCCTCTTCCCCCTCTGCGTCTCGCAGTCGCAATTTGCCTTCCTCCGTTTGTCCTGCTTCGGGTGGCAGAGCGGCGGCGGCGCAATTCGCCTTCGCGTGGAGCTGCTCCGCGCGCGCCTTCCGCGCTCGGCCGACGCGCGGCCTCCGGCTGGCGCCCGCCACGGGCAGACGATGCGCGCGCGCCCCCCAGGACATCGCACCAGCCCGCCCTCTCGAAGTTGGACGGGCTCACGTTGAGGTCACCAGCGATGGTCCATGGCGTGCGAAGCGTGGCCGTGAAACTCGCCGCCTCCGCGCGTCGCCCGGCGTTGGCCCCGTCCGCGTTGTCCGCCTCGCAAGTAGAGTGGGATGACAACTGGCGTGAATCCCTTCAAACTCTTTAAGTGCCAGGTCACGGCCGCCCTGCTTCCCGCCGTCGCCCCTGGCGCGCTCTCGAGGGCGGCCAACTCTCGGAAGAAGGGCGTCTTATCATGTGACCTGGCACCAAATATTACGCCGCCGAGCGAGCCGCCCTCCGACTTGCCCGATTGCTGCGCTGAAGGGATACATCTTTTATCCCAGCCTGGGCAGCAGCGCCCCCCCCCCCCCCTCCGGCCGACGACGTCGAAGGTGGATATCCTGGAACAGGCGCGCGTCAGAACCCCCCCCGCGCCCTCCGCGCGCGCTGTTGTTCGACCCGTTGAGTCGCGCGCTCGCCCTTAAGGCGCTGCTCTTCAGCGGGGCCCCATGTTGTGATGTCGCCGAGGAAGACCTTCATGCCGGCCGCGTTGTCGGCTGCTGGGCCGCCGAGGCTCGATCTTCAACTGCGGGCTGCCGCTGCGCTGCTCGCCGCCGCCCTGGACTTCTTCAGCGCCTTCTCCTCGAGCGCCGCTTGGCCCTCTGCTGCAGCCCCCCGGGCAGCCGCGGGAGTGTGCGCGTGCGTGTATGTGTGCGTGTGTGCGCGTGTGTGCGTGTGCGTGTGCGTGTGCGTGTGCGCGTGTGTGTGTGTGTGTGTGTGTGTGTGTGTGTGTGTGTGTGCGTGTGCGTGTGCGTGTGCGTGTGCGTGTGCGTGTGCGTGTGCGTGTGTGCGTGTGTGCGTGTGTGTGTGTGTGTGTGTGTGTGCAGGGGGGGGGGGCATCGCCGCGCGCATCCTGGGGCCCCTCCGCGTGCGCATCAGCTCCAGCACCTCGGCCTGCGCCCAGCTTCCTCTCGTCCAGAGCGATTCGCTGCCGACCCCTTCGCCGCCATGATGCGTAGCTGCATCTGCTCTGCCTACTTCGCCGCGCCCACCCTGAGATCCCTCAGCGCAGCCTTCTTCGCCTCCGCCACGGCGAGCTTGGCTGTCTCGTCGATCTCGTCCTCCAGCAGCGCGATCTCGGCCCCCAGGTCGATCGCCCCTTCGAGCGCGATCTCGTCGGCCGACTTCTCAGGGAGCTGCTGCGTGCAGCTCTCTGGCGGCCGCTTCTTGCCCTCGCTGTGGGTCTCCTCCAGCAGGGCCTTCGCGTCCGTGACCGCGTCCGCCTTGACCTCCGTGCGCTCCTCCAGCTCCTTCAGTCTCCCTCTCGCTCTTTCGACCTCTCTCGCTATGGCCGGGAACTGTTTGTTTGCCACTTTCAGCTTCTCCGTCGCCTCCGCCAGTCGCCCTGCTCGCGGCCTTGGCGGTGCCGACGGCTTGGCCTCTAACTTCCTCGCGGCGCCCTGGAGCTGCACGTCGAGCTGGCACCCGTCCTCGATCTGCAGCGTGGCGAGCTGCTCCGCGATGGTGTGCGGCGCCTGCCCCAGCTCCGTGCGCTCCGCGTTCTTGCTGTTGCCCTCGGACTTGGCGGCCCTCGCGCTCTTCAGCTTCTTGAAGAACGCCTTGCGCTTGCCGCACTTGAAGCCCTCCGTCCAGTTCCCGTCGTAGAGCCAGCCCTTGCAGCCCCAGGTCGAGGAGCAAAACCATGTCTTGTTCCACGTCTTCGGCGCCATCGACCCGTGGTGACCGTCGAGCAGCTTCTGGCCTTCTCGATGGACAGAGTCTTGGCGTCGGATCTCTGTCTCCTCAGCCTGCGGTGCCACGCGGGCGAGCGGGATCTGGTCCGCCCCGGCGTGGCTGACTGGCGCGCGCGCCCGCGAGCGGGTGTCGGCTGGGCTGCGCGCTGGGCGCCCAGCTCCTCGAGCCCCAAACGCCTTTTTGTGGCGCCCGCGGAGGATGGTGCCACAACTTGGTTTCAAAAGGAGCGGAAACAGCCAACGATATGCGCACCTCGTCCAGACTGCATCCATGCATTCGCTCCCTGTTGTCACCGCGCTGGAACCACTGCAGCACGGACCCCTGCAGGAACCACGAGGAGGTACCCCCGGACGAAAAGTACCCCGGCAAGGTCCCGAGAGAAGCCCGGGAGAAGCCACCAGACCACTCCAGGGGAGGGTATTTTTCGACACCCCTCACGAGGATCGTGGCCTCCGAGGGGGGAGCCGCAATCGACTACCCCCAAGAGCCCCCCAAGAGGCCCTGGGGGCCTCCAAAACGCCGCCAAGGAGCCCCAAGAGACTCCCAAGAGGTCCCCAAGAGGCCCCCAAGAGGCCCTAAAGAGGGCTCCAGGGCCGGCGGCATGAGCGAAGCGATTAAATAAGTGTTGGGCCGAGGGCACACATGGTTCTCGACCCGCTGCCTGGAGGAGGCGGAGAAGGAGGAGGAGGAGGAGGAGAGAGTAGGAGGAGAGGGGGGGGGAGGAGGCGAAGGAGAGAGGACGAGGAGGAGGGAGAAGGAGGAGGAGGAGTAGGACAAACCCCATGAAAAGGAGGAGACGAGAGGAAGGAGAAGCAGGATGAGGAGGAGGAGCAAGAGGAGGAGGAGCAGGAGGAGGAGGAAGAAGAGGAGGAGGGGTGGAGCCTCCATCCCCTCTGCACCGTGGAGGGGGGAGTTCAAGATGCTCCCCCGTGAAAGGAGGAGAGAGGGGAAGCAACCGTAGGAAGAGAACGAGGAGGACTGAGGAGGAGCGAGGATGAGGGAGGAGGAGGGAGGTGGGAAGAGGGAGGAGGAGGAAGGAGCGAGGAGGAGAGAGGAGAGGGGAAGCGGGACGGGGAGGAGGGGGGAGGAGGGAGCGAGGGAGAGAGTGGGGGAAGATGGTGGGGAGAGAAGCCCTGGCTCCCCCGTGACACTGGCGGCGGCGGGCCTCGCGGCGCGGCGGGGTCGGCGTGGGACGCGGCGCGGGCGCCGCGTCGGGCAGCGGCTCGAAGAACTTCGGCCCGCCCTGGGGGCTGGCGTCGCACGTGACCTTTGGGGGCGGAGAGCCAGCAGGGTGGGGGAAAGGAGATCGATCGATCGAGCTCTGGGGCCATCTCAGTTCTACATAATATCGGCTATGAGCTCTGTAGCTGTGGAAACTCTAGGTTGGCCGAGCTGTGGTCACGTTATGTAGGGGGTTCGGGGAAGGAGATGAAGGAGGTGGATGGGTTCGGTTTAGACTCGGATGCGGCGCTGGGCTCGAAACTGGAACGAACTGGAGAGGGGTTCAACTCAGCCCAGCACCCCTGGAGACGCCGTCGGCCAGGACATGGCGAGGCTGAAGGGGTAACCCTTGCTGTCCCATGTCCGCAGGAAGAATGGGGTGGATCAGGAGCTACCTGGCGGCGCGCAGAGGGGCGGCCGGTCCAGAGCAGGGTGCGGAGGAGGCTGCCGCATGGGTCACAGAACGGGAGGCCCGCTGTCCCCCGAGGGCCCTATGCCGAGTCGCACGATGTAAGGTTCCAGCGCCGAGCGTGGGGCGGCAGAGGAGACGTGCCCACTGGCGGAGCAAGCGCATCACACCGGCTAGCCGATGGATGCAATCGCGTAGTCCTTGCCAAAACTATCGCGGGAGGAGACGGAGGAGGATTAGGAGGAGGAGGAGGAGGAGGAGGAGGAGACGGAGGAGACGGAGGCGGAAGAGGAACGATGAGGGAGGATTGATCATGGATGAAAACTTTTAGGGCGGAGGCAGGAGGCCTTCGGTAAGTCCCACCAGCCCTCTGGGCGTAGGTGGTCTAGAGCGCTTCCTCCTCAAACCCCCTTCTTCCCGTTTGGGGAAGGGTTTACCACTCACCTCTAACCCCTCTCCTGGACCCTCCCCTGGACTTGGACGGGGGGGGGTCGCGAGGGGGTGGATCGTCCAAGATGGCCGAAGACAGCTCCCAGAACGCCGCAGAGAGCCCAAGATGTCCTCCAAGATGGCTCAAGATAGTCCCAGATGCCTCAAGATGGCAGGCCCAAGAACGCTCCAAGACGGTTCCAGGTGGCCACGGAGCCTCCCTGGGAGGCCCTCAAGAGGCCAACATCCTTCCAAAACCAAAGATCCATAACTGTTGTTTGCTTTCTCGCCTTTTCGCTTCCGATGGCTTTCCCAGGCCTCAGGACGGCTCCAAGATGGCCCAAGAGGGCTCCAAGAGGCCTCCAAGACGGCCTCATAGAGCGTCCGAGAGCGCTCCAAGAGCGCCCCCAGAGACGATATGTTGGGCTCCCGAGGGGGGGGGGCCCAAATTGAAGCTCCACTCTGGTTTGATCGATGTCTTCCAATATGGCTCCAAGAGCGCCCCTAAAGTTCCCAAGAGCGCCCAATTAGGGACCCCAGAGGCGCCCAGGCGGCCCTAAGAGGCGCCCAAGAGGCCTCCAAGAGGCTCCCAAGAGACCCTGACGGGACCTCAAACGGATCCCCGAGGCACCCAAGACGCTCAAAGACTGCCCTGGGCCCGCCAAGATGACCCCAGACGCCCCAAGAGGCCTCTAAAAGCATTCCAGGAAGCATCCGCTCCTCCTGATGCACCTCCTGCACCTGAACCTCCTCCTCCTCCTCCTTCTCCTCCTCCTCCGTCTCCTTCTCCTTCTCCTCATCATCCGCGCATGCATCCTCTTCCTCCTCCCTCCTCCCCCCTCATCCACCATCCTCCTCGTCCTCCTCCTCCTCCTCCTCACCATCATCATCTTCCACACATGCATTCTCATCCTCATCCTCCTCCCTCCTCCCTCGCCTCATCCACCATCCTCCTCCTCCTCCTCCGCCTCCTCCTTCTCCTTCTCCTCCTCCCCAGCCACCTCTTCCTCCTCCTCTTCCGTCTCTGCTTTCTATTCCTCCTCCTTCTCCTCTTCTTCCTCCTCCTTCCTCGAACGGTCACGGCTTTCCCCCTGTTTGCTCCTACACTCAACTGATCGTCTCAACTCGCCTGGGTGTCGGTTTCGCATGGGCTGGTGGGGATACGCGAAACGTCAAGAATGCCCTGCAATTCCATGTAATCGAAACGTGCCCACGACGTTATTTGGACGTTCCAGGGGGCAGGTGGAAATCCGCAGGAGTCTGGGAGGGGGGGGGGGTGATGCTGCCTCTGATAGCGAGGGTGGAGGATGACGGGGATGATGCTGATGATGCGACTGCTGGTGCTAATGATGATGACGATGCTGCTGCTGATGCTGACGATGCTGTTGATGGGTATGCCGATGATGATGCGTGCGATGTTGGTGGTTGATATGTCAGTGATGCATATGATGATGGTTGCGAAGCTGAAACATGGCATCCTCGTCTTAACGCCGCACACGCTCGCCGTAATCCCACCAACCCACTCCGCTGGGCGGATGTGGTTTAGGGAGCTGCCTCATCAAAACCCTCTTCGGGGAGAGATTGACCCCCCTCCCTACCCCATCTCCTGGGTCTTGACGGGGGCAGGGGGATGGGCTTGAACGCCAAGGATGGATAGCTCAAATGTGCCGTCCAAGATGGCTCAATGTGACCAACGATGGCTCAAACTATGTTTCATCAAGCCTCCCACAAGCCCCGCAACCACCTCAAGACGTCCCCACGCAGCCTCACATGAACGTCACCGAGAGGCTAACGTACCCCCAGAACAACAGAACAACCAGTGAGTCATGGCTCCACGACGGCTCCATCTAGCTGAATGCGGACTCACGAATGACCCACCACGTCCTACAACATGCCCCGATCTACCATAGGACGGCCCCAAGTAACCATGGAGCGTCGCAAAGAGACTAGTAATCAAATTCAAGCAACCACCTCATGGTGCTCCATGTGAGTTGTCTTCTCGCCGTTACGGTCTCGCTTAGTTTCTGAGGCCTCAACCTGGTTCGGACAGATCGCAATCGAGCCCCAATAGGGGCCCCGACGAGGCCCAAGGCGCACTCAATTGCGTCACGCGTCACACGAAGGTTCCACGACGGGCTATGACGGGGCAACTCACTTAAGGACCCCCCTCTCGTTGATCAATGCCCTCAGCGATGGCCCCGAGGCCCCCAAAGTGATACAGAAAGCGCCCAACACTGCAACGATAAGGCTCCAAGATACGTCCCACAGACTCTTGGAGCGAAAGACCCGCAGCGGTCTCATTGTTGTCTCCTGCCGTTGTCGTCGCCCGCCTCCTCGTCCTCGTTAATGTAGTAGCCTCGCCCCATCCATCCTCCGTCGTTCTCCTCCTGCTGCTCACCTTCCTCCTACCTCCCTCTTGACCCTCCGCCCCCTCCCCTTCCTCCTTTTACACTTCCCCTCCGCATCCTCATCCGCCTTGTGCGACGGCAGGCTCACCTAGACTTCTGGGCATGCTCAAGCTGACCCCGAGCTTGGGCTTGACGGCTGATTCACCCGTCTGTTCACTGGAATTCCCTACACTTCCCTGATCAAGGCAACTCGCCTGGCACTCGTTCCTGGGTGGGCTGGTTGGGACTCGCGAAGCGTCAAGAGCAGTCCCCACACGGACACGACATGGGGTGTGAATTGGGTTTCAACATGTGGCGCTTCCCTTCGTGCCGCGCACATGCTTCCAAAAAGCTTGTACCAATTACACGGATGGAAGCTGGCTCCTCCCCACAACTGGGCTGTCGATTGACAATTCCTCTACCTTCCCTGCTGATGCTGGCATTGCGCAGCAAGTACACGGATGGTGCGCTTTGATTCCTAAGCTTATGCTCTCGTTTGAAACACAAAACGATCAGCTACACGGTTGAGGGTGGCTCCACTTCAACATGGGGCTCCTTCTCTGTGCAATACTTCCCAGGAGGTTGGGCGGCTCCCTTTCGAACGTAGGCTCTCTATTGACTCCCGCTCAAGCTCAACTTCTTTACGAAGGTCATTTTGCAGCAGTCCTAATGACTGAAGGCTCCCTATTTCGAAAAGAAGCTCTCGCTGAACCCCCTTGAGCTTTATCTTGGTACCTCTGGGTACTTCTTCAAGGTAAGGAGCTAGGATGATAGGGTGGCAGCTCCGTTTCAGCACGGGGCTCTTACCAGAGTGAAGCGCCCATGGGGCGCTCGTCCTCCAAGAGGGTGCTTCCAGCAGGGAAACAGTGCATGGGGGCCCTGAAGAGAGGGCTTGGGGCAGGAGGTTGTGTTGTGGTGTCGCTGACGCACCCTGAACCCACTAGAACAACCTCAAAACCTTCTGACAACCGCTAACACCATTTTTCTCCAGACCCCTAACGTCATGCTTTTCTCACAATCTGGAGCTGCGGAGGGCTGGACCCGTTCCCCACGACAGTCTTTTCGCATTGTTTGACGGTCCTTGGGCCCAGCGAGGGTCTCCAGATCCGCTTTGGCGCAGCCGGCTGGGCGCGCGGCCCAGCCCTTGGTCTTCCTGGAGGGCTGCGAGAGGTCCCCCGGCTCCAGGCCAGCGCCTTCTGCGAACACAACGGGCATGCGGACGATGCCGTCCTCGAGCTCCTCGGGCTGGGGGCAGGGTCTCCGAAGCGCGCGGTCCATGGGGGAGGGGCCCGCCCCAATCTTCATCTCCACGCCGTCCCCTGAAATCCTGGCGTCGCATTTTTTGTGCAACGGGCGATTTCCCCTCGTCCCGGGCACGGGGACATTCACGGCAGCAGACAAATAGGCTCTACTCGACTTCGACACCTAAATGATATAAACAAACTCTTGCACTCGCATTCTGGGCCTCAACATGACGAGATCTGTTGTAGCAATACATGTGCTTCGCATTGCGCGCACGCGTGCACGCACCCGCGTGCGCCAAGTAACAAATGCAAACTTAGCTTCGGAAAAACGTGGAAGCCATTTGTTGCATTCGTACTCTGGGCTTCGGCATGCTAGAACATAAACTAAGGCAACACACTTGTCTCACTGCTGGCGCGTACGCGCGTACGCGCTCCAGCGTGCGCCGTGCGAGATACGATAGGACATTATCAGCTTAACCTATGAACCTAGATGATGACAACCAGTTGTTCCACTCGCAACCTGGGCAGTGCAAGAACGTACTAGTAGGAATGTCCGCCACCATGCCGCTGGGCACGGGGTGGGCGCGTCCTCGGGTCCTGGGCCCAATCCTCTCTAAGCCGCAATCCCAACTCCTGAGGAGTCTGTAAGGGGGCCCAGGCCCCAAGTTCCCCGTTTCTCTGACGCTTGTCGTTGTTCCCCTGGGCTGCCCCGCGTCTTGTCGTGCAGGACGCACCCCCCCTCCTTCTTTCCCGCCCCTCGGAAGCTCCCCCCCCCCCTTCCCCCCGCTCTCGCTCGAGAAGCTACCCCCCCACTCCCTTTCCAAAGGGGGGGAGGGGCTCAGCTATCCCCCCCTCCTTTGAACCCTCCCGCGGGCGGAAGCCCCCCCCCCTCTCCTTTTAAGTTAAACGAGGGGGGGGTTGGAAGCCCCCCCCTTGTGGCTAAAGGAAGGAGCGCCGAAGACCAAAACGGCGCCGAAAACCAACAGAGCGCCGAAAACCGGAAGGGTGCGAAAACCACAGCGCGCCGAAAGCCGAAGGAACGCCGAAAACCGAACGGGCGCCGAAAACCGAGGGTGCACCCGAAACCAAAAGGGCGCCAGAAAACCAAAGGAGCGCCGAAAACCAAAGGAGCGCCGAAAACCAAAGAGGTGTCGAAAACCAAAAGGGCGCCGAAAAGCGAAAGGGAGCCGAACATCAAAGGAGCGCCGAAAACCAAAAGAGCGCCGAAAAGCAAAGGGGCGCCGAAAACCAAAAGGCGCCGAAAACCCAAGGAACGCCGAAAGCCAAAGAGGCGCCGAACAGAGGCGCCGAACACCAAATTAGGCTCCGAAAACCAGCGGGGCGTTGAAAACCAACAGGGCGCCGAAAACCAAATGGCGTCACAAACCAAAGGAGCGCCGAAGACCAAAGGAGCACCGAAAACCAAAGGAGCGCCGAAAACCAAAATGGAGCCACAAACCAAATGAGCGACGAAAACCAAAAGACGCCGAAAACCCAACGAACGCCGAAAACCAAAGGGGCGCCGAAAACCAAAAAACGGTTCCGAAAACCAGCGGAGCGCCGAAAACCAAAAGGGCGCCGAAAATCAAAGGGGCGCCGGAAACCAAGGGGGCGCAGAAAACCCAAAGGAGGACGAACACCAAAAATGCGCCGAACATAGCAAGGGGCGCCGAAACCCAAAGATGCGCTGGGAAGCAAAAGGGCGCCGAAAATTCGCCGGCCCAACGGGCCAGGGCGTGCTAAGATCTCCGGTAACTGGTTAACAGTATTTCTAGTTCGCGCGCGCGGGGCGGCCCCGGGGGGTCCCCGGACGAAAAGTACCCCGGCAAGGTCCCGGCAAGTCCCCGGCAAGGTCGGGTCAGAGATGCCGGAGTTATGTTTCGGAGTCCAAGAGGGCTCCAGATCGGTCCAAGAGGGCCCCGAGAAGCTTTCTAGACGGTCCAAGAGAGGCCCGAGACGGCCAAATATCGCCCGAAGACGCCCCAGATGGCCCCAAGACAGCCCAAGAGGCCTCCAAGACGCTCCAAGGGCCTTCCAAGAGGCCTCCGAAGACGGCCCCAAGTTGCCAAAATCGTTGATTTACATTGGTTTTTTTTCCGATGTTTTTTGCGTTCTGGCCTTTTCGCTTCCGGACGCTCCAAGAGGGCCCAAGAGGCCTTCAAGACTGCTCCAAGACGGCCCACGAGGCTCCCAAGACGGCCCCGGAGCGGCCCAAGAGCGCCCCCCAGACGGCCCAAGTGCCGCCCAAGGCGGACCAAGAGGCCCCAAGACGGGCCCAAGAGGGGCTCAAGAAGGGAACCGAGAACTGAAAAATCGAGCCCTCCGCCCCAGAAGGCGCCCAGGACCCCGAAAGAGGCCCCAAGAGACTCTCCAAGACACCCCCAAGACGCCCCAATAAGCTCCCGTGAGGCCCCAAGAGGACCAACAACGTCAGGCCCCAGGCCCCAAGAGGACCAACAAATACCGCCAAGAGCCCGCCGAAAGCCCCCCAAGAGACCGTCACGAGAGCTCAGGAGGCCCCCTGGAGGCCTCCCGAGTTCTCCAAGAGGCCTAAAAAGAGGCGCCAAGAGGCCCCAAACGGCCCCAACGAGGCTCCAAGAGGCCACGAACGCGCAAGCAAACGCCTGCGATGGCACAATACGGGCCGGCGGAATGAGCGAAGCGATTAAATAATAAGGAAGCCTAACACCAGAGCAGCGCTGAAAAACAATAGGGCGCCGAAAACCAAACGGGCGCCGAACAAACCAAAGGAGCGCCGAAAACCAAAAGGCGCCGAAAGCCCAACGAACGCCGAAAATAAAGGAGGAACCGAAAACCAAAACACGGCTCCAAAAACCAGCGGGGCGAGAATAACCAAAAGGGCGTCGAAAAATCAAAGGGGCGCCAAAAACCAAAGGCGCGCCGACAGCCGAAAGGCGCCCAAAACCAAAGGGGCGCCGAAAGCCAACGCGCGCCGAGAACCAAAAGAGCACCGAAGCCTAAAGGGGCGCCGAAAATCAAAAGGGCGCCAAAGACCACGAGGGCGCCGAAAATCAAAGGGGCAAGAGGGCGCCGAAAACCAACGATGCGCCGAAAACCAAAAGGGTGCGCAGAAAACCAAAAGGGGCGTCGAAAATCGAAGGGGCGTCGAAAACCACAGGAGCGACCAAAACAAAAGGAGCGCCGAAAACCAAAGGGACACCAAAGGCCCAAGGGGCGCCGAAAACCAAAGAGGCGCCGAAACCAAAGATACGTCGAAAACCACAAGTACGTTGAAAACCAACGGTGCGCCGAAAACCAACGAGGAAAAGTAGCTTCGAAGCCCCCCTTCAGCCAGGGCCCTCCAGCTGGAAAAGCCAACAGAAGGAGGGGAGGGGGAGGGTCGCTTCGGAAGCCCCCCCCCCTTTGGCAAGTGGACCCCGGGCGTACCCCAGGCCCCGAAAAGGAGGGTGGTGGCGGGTAGCTTCCAAGCCCCCACCCCCTTTAGACAGGGACCCCCCCGCTACAAAATCCAAACAAAAGGAAGAGGGGGGTAGCTTTGGAAGCCCACTCCTTTTGAAATGGAGAGCCCGGGCTGACACCCGGGCTCCGAAAATGGGGGGGGGGACCAGCTTCAAAGCCCCCCCCCGTCCCCCTTCTTTAGCTAGGGCCCCTCCAGCTAAACAAATACCCACAATCGGGGGGGAAGGGGGGGTAGCTTCGGAAGCCCCCATCTCCCTTTTCCAAGGGGGTGGGGGTAGCTTGAAGCTGGGGCCCCCCTTTTCGTGAGAAGTGTGTCACGAGCGCGCTATTTCGGATATATTAATGTGCACTTGGAACACGACACTGGTTGCAATGTTTGTGTTAATTCCCTACCTAGGCTCTGCCTAGAAGGGTTCTTACTCTCTGGGCTTAACGGGGCCGGGCAGTGGAAAGCGCCCCGGGCGGTTCCGCCAGTATCCGCCCCGCGGTTCCCCCAGTTACGTCCCCTTAGCTTAGCGTTGCTTATCTCATCTTAGCTTAGCTTATTCATCTTAGCTTAGCTTAGCTTCATCTTAGCTCAGGTGTATCTTATCTTAGACTAGCCTAGCTTAGCTTAGCTTAGCTTAGCTTTAGCCTAGCCTAGCCTAGCTTAGCCCAGCTTAGCTTAGCTTGGCTTAGCTTAGCCTAGCCTAGCTTAGCTTAGCTGAGCTTAGCATAGCTTAGCTTAGCGCAGCATAGCGCAGCGCAGCATTAACACAGCATGGCATAGCATAACATAGCATAGCCAAGCATAGCATAGCATAGCTCAGCTCAGCACATCATAGCATGTAGCTGTCGGTGTGGATGTAGACGTTGCTTTCCTAGATGCTCCAACTCCTAGGTAGGGTCGCACTGGGATAATGTGTATGTAGGCTGTAACTCGTACGCCCGTGCCAGTCGCGCGCCAGTCGCATCTCTCAGTGCCACGTGGTCCGTCGGTCGTGCCTGGTGGCTTCACCTGCACCGCTTCTTGTCAGCGTAGATGCCGTCGGGCCGTCGCTCGTTCCCCCCAGCCGCCCGTGCCCGCCCAGGTGACTGGGTGGCCTATGGCGCGGGTTGCACCCGCTTCTGAGGGCCCGGCGCGTGCGGGGGTTCGCGATCGGTGGTGCTCGACTTTCTTTGCCTCGTCGCTGCGCGCGAGGCCGCGACCGCCCAAAGCTTGTGCATGTGGTAGGTGTGTGTGTGTGTGTGTGCGTCTACAGCGTTAGCTTGGCCAACGCGTCCGCAGCCGCAGCCTTTCTCGGCAGCGGTAGCTGCGCGACGGGTAGGTCTACGGATCGCCTGCTGCCAGGCGTGCGCAACCATGGCGGCGGCCAGCTTCTCTCCGCCGAAATGGTTGTCGGGGCGTCCCGGACAGGGCAGGAGGCACGCAGGGAAGAGACCAGGAAGCTAGAGAAACCACCAGAGGAATGTGTATCTAACTGCGGCATCGCACCCCGCGTGGCAAGCCGGCCAAGGCCGAAGAGCCAGAAAACTCTGGCTCGGGGGGTGGCACTCTGAACCGCGCCCCCAGTTCGCCTGGGCACCAGGCTCCTGAGGCCCGGACTGCTCGACCTGCGTCCCCTTCATCAGCGCGGCCACCAAATCGCTCTCCAGCGAGAGTCCTCCCGGGCGAGGGGTGAGAACAAGGAGGGAGAGAGGAAGGATGAGGGAGGGAGGGGAAGGAATAAGAGGGAGGAGAGGCGGACGAGAAAGGATAGATTGAATTCGGGACGGAGGGAGAAGGGATGATGATGCTGATGATGGAGACGACGACCACGACGACGACGATGACGATGATGATGCTGATGATGACGATCATGATGATGATGATGCTGCTGATGATGATATTTATGTTGATGATGCTGATGATGATGATTATGATGCTGATGATGATGTTAGTGACGCCGAGTTCTCAATTCAAAACAATGCTTTGTGTTGATCCCCCTGCCCAGTGCCCATTGTGGCTTTTGAAATTAAAATGCTCCTCCCGAGGCTCGCACTCTGCTCTTTACAAGGGGACGGTATCGAAGCATAGATTGTGTTGCTGGTCCCCGGTTTACAATAACAGCGGCACCCGCCTGATACGTCCTCACAATTTATCCCAAATCGAGCTCTAGCGCGGGACTTGCACACACACACACACAATTTATCCAGGAATCGCGCTCTTGCGTGGCACTTCCCGCAATTTATTCACGCTCAGGAATCAAGCTCTGGGCGTCTTAACGATTTATTTTGGAATCGCGCTATCGCTGGAGACTTCCCAACGATTCATGCAGGACTGACGCTTCAGCAACCCGCCTACTCGATTGGGCCGCCTGGGCCCGCCTTGCTGCCCCTCCTGTTCAGGTCTACCCGCCCGATCCGCCCCTCTGGTTCTGCCACTTATGTTCTGCTCCTACCCGCCTCCTGCTAATCTCTTTCGTCTTCCATCCTTCTCCCTTCGCCTTGTCCATTCCTTCCATTCTCCCTCCCTTCCCTTGTATCAGGGGATGCCCCAAATCCACGGAAGGAAGATACACCCCCACGGAGGTACGATCGAAGATGCAGAGGGCGGCTATCGGGTTTGGGGAATCTATGTGTTGAATGGCACGCGAACCGGTAAGAGCGAACAGTCTTAAAATGTTGTGTTTGTTGTTGTTGCTGGAGATGACGACGATGCTGATGCTGATGCTGATGCTGATGATGATGCTGCTGATGGTGCTAGTGATGGTGCTGCTGGTGATGATGATAATGATGATGCTGATGATGATGATGATGAGGAGGATGAGGATGCCGATGACGTTATTGATCTTGATTTTGATGTCAATGCTGTTGTCGTTGCTGCTGTTGATCACGATGATGACGATGACAACGGAGACGGCGATGATGATGATGATGATGATGATGATGATGATGATGATGATGATGATGATGATGATGATGATGATGATGATGATGATGATGGTGATCATGACAATGACGATCATGATGACGATAATGCTGCTGCTGATGCTGCTGCTGCTGCTGCTGATGATGATGATGATGATGCAGGGGGAGAGGAGGAGGACCTACGTGGGGAAGTGGAGAGGTGGGAGGGGGGCAGGAAGATGGATGGGGTGGGGGATGGGGAGCGAGAGCGATGCAGAATACGGAGAATGGACGATCCCATTGTGATTTGTTGCTGTCCAACTCTCCCGTCGGTTCTTGGTTTGAACAGAGCATCGCTGGCGCATCTCTCCATCTCCTCATGCCCCCTCCCTCTCTTTTTCTCTCTTCACCGGCCTCCTCCTCCTCCTCCTCCTCCTCCTCCTCCTTCTCCTTCTACTCGTCTCCTGCCTATGTTCGCCATCCCAGGGGGGGGGGGCGATCTGCGACACTGCCGCCACGTTCGAGGGCTGCTGAGGGTCTAGCATAGCTGGTGGCCTGCGCAGATCCAGACTAGACCTCGCTGCCCCTGGGAGGCTGTGAGAACTACAAAGCTGTCGCCACTCTTGAGGGCGCTGCTGAGGGGTCCAGCATAGTGGGTGGTCTCCGCAGATCCAGCTTTGACCTGGCCATCTCTGGGGGTGGAGGGGCTCCGATCTGCATTCGTGTCGCCACTTTCGGGTAAAGGGGGTGTGTCCAGCATAGTGGGTGGCCTCCGCGGGTCCATACTAGGGGGCTGCGATCTGAGAAACTGTCACCACGTTCGAGGGCAGCTGGGGGTCCAGCACATAGTGTGTGGCCTCCGCAGATGCAGATTAGACGTCGCCACGCCTGTGTGGTTGCGAACTGCGAAACTGTGGCTGCGTTCGAAGGTTGCCGCGGGGGCGTACCACTGGTGGCCTGCGCAGATCCAGATTCGACCTCGCCATGCCAAGGGGGCCTGCGATCTGCGCAAATACCTATCGCCTCTGGACAGGGGCTGCTGTGCAGTCCAGCACTGTGGGTGGCCTCCACAAATCCAGAAGAGACCTCGTCATCCCTGTGGGCGCTTCCGATCTTCGAGACTGTCGCCACTTTCGAGAACCGCTGGGAGGTCGCACACAATGGGCTGCCTCCTCAGGTACAGCTTTACGCCTGGCCATCCAGGGGGGGGGGCTGCGACCTGAGAAACTGTCGCCACTTTCGAGGGCTGTTGGGGGGTCCAACATACTGGGTGGCCTCCGCAGATCAAGATTCGACCTCGCCATGCCATGCCTCGGAATATGCCAGAACTGCAAATAGATCGCCACCTTCGAAGATTGCTGCGGGGACCAGCATCGTTTGGTGGCCCTTGCAGACCACAAAGAGACCTTGTCATGCCAGTGGGCCTGCGAAACAGCAGCCGCTTTCGAATTCTGCTGCTGACATCCCCATGGGGGGGGGCTGCGATCCACGAAACTGCAGCCACTTTCGAGGTCTGCTGGGGCAGCATAGTGGTGGCATCCGTGGGTTCAGGTTAGACCTCGACACCCCTGGGAGGCTACGATCTGCGAAAGTGTCGCCATTCCGGGGGGGGGGGGGGGCAGCGAGCTGCGAATCTGCCCCCACCTTCGAAGGCTGCTGCGGAGGGGGGGCAGCACAGTGCGTGGCCTCCGCCGATCCAGATTCGACAACGCCATCCCTGGGGGGCTGTGATCTGCGTACATATTGCCACGTTCGGGGGCCGCTTGGGGGGGGGGGGTCAAGCATATGGGGGTCTCCGTAGATCCCTATTAGGCCTCGCCATGCCTGGGGGACTGAGAACTGCGCCTCTGTCGCCGCTGTTGACGGCTGCTGGGGAGGACCAGCTGTTTGGTGCGGAGCAGGAATTCGGACTGGACCTCGCAACGCCTGGAAGGTCGCCAGCTGCGAAACCGTCAACGCCTTCCTTTCTCCGACGTACCTCCTCTGTAACTGTCGTCATCGTCATCCGTCCTCCGTCTCCCTGCTTTTGCCGCGTTGACTGTTCCCCCCCTCCCCCCCTTCCGTCCCGTTCCTGCCCCTCGTTGCCAACCCCTTCCTCTTGGGGCTGGTTGCCGCGTTGACTGTTCGCCCGCTCCCTTCCGTCCTTCTCCTGTCCCTCGTTCCCAGCCCCTTTCTCTTCGGGACTGGTAGCACGTTCTTTGTCCCTCTTTTGGCGCGCGCGCATCCCATGCAGCTTGCATCAAGAACGACGGTTCCTGCATTGTCGCTACCCATACTAATTTAGGCCAGCCGCTTCGGTGTCTTGATGCAAATGGGTTGGGTACGCCGCATGGTAATCATACATTCCCTGGGATGGGGGGGGCGTGGTCCCGGCTGGACGCAGCTCGAACACTGGTCAGAATGGCGTCTGGTGGGTTCGGCAAGCGTTCTTCAGTGGAAGTGGATGGGAGATGAGTGAAGGGAGAGAAGACAACGAGGTTGGAGAGATGGGTGGGTGGGGTGAGGGGTGAGAGCAACATAATGAGTGAGGAGAGAGGGTGGTAGGGAGGTTGAGCGAGAAGGGAGAGGGGTGCGAGAAGGAGAAGGGAGGTTGAATTGCTGAGTAAAGAGGCCTAACACATCGGGGCAACGGAGGAGAGGATGAGATTACTGGGGAGAGGAGCCGAGCGGAGGGGCAGGGATAGAGGAATGATTGGGAGGGGCATTTGGAAGATAATACGGGTGAGGATGCTGATAGTGTCGATGGTGATGCTGCTCCTGATGATGCTGATGCTGATGCTGATGGTAATGATGACGACGACGACGATGAAAACGACGATGACGATGACGATGACGATGACGATGATGATGGTGATGATGATGGTGATGATGATGATGGTGGTGATGGTGATGATGATGATGCTGATGATGATGATGATGATGATGATGATGATGATGATGATGATGATGATGATGATGATGTGGAGGAGGAGGAGGAGGATGAGGAGGAAGAGTATGCTGATGGTGATGGTCGAACGCCTCGTCGTCGTCATACTCCTCCTCCCCGTCCAACTCTTAGTCCTCCTCTTCCTCCTCCAACTCTTAGCCCTCCTCCTCCTCCTCCTCCTCCTCCTCCAACTCTGAGCCCTCCTCCTCCTCCTCCTCCTTCTCCCTAGCCATTCCTCCAGGGAAGGGGGTCGAGTTCGGGACGGCAAACTCAGGAATGGCCCTGCCACCCGAAGCCATAAACAAGTTGTCACCCAACGTCATCAACTACAGTGCTGAGACCAGGTAACGACTGGGTGCAGTCTCGCGATGACCTCGCTGTTCTCTCCTCGCCCCCCTCCCTGGCGTCTTGTCTTCACCCCGCCGTCAAGAGAACCACCCCCCTCGCCGGCGTACTCCAATCCTCGGGAGTCCGCATCCCTTCCATGGCGCATGGGCCCCCTGAATGGCTGCGTGAGATCTCTGCATGAGATGGCAGACGGACCGACCGAAAGTCGCAGTGAAAGTGTGTTCAGACGATTGCACAGAATCGGGCAGTAGTGACACGTTGGCGGCGATCGACAGTGAGGCACACGTTGCATCAGCTGCAGCGCTTGGACCTCCGAGCGCGCCACGGCCAGGCGTTGGCATAATCAAAGCAGCGGGCGCCGCCGGCGAGACAGCTCGCAGCGGCAGCACATGCGAAAAGGCGGGCAGCGGTTGCCAGCGAAAGGGCAGTATCGAATCTCAGTGTCATCAGCTGCAGCTCTCGGGCCACGGCGTGCGAGCATGGCAGGCAGTGGCACCGGGCAGCGACGGGGCCAGCTGTGCGAGAACGCGAAGGGCAAGGGAGAGCCAGACCCGCCCCACGGCCCCAGCCGAAAGGCAGGGATCAACGTCGACTGCGAGAAAGGGGTGCAGCTGCGGCAAATGTCGGGAGGAAGGAGAGCCCACCGTCATGCGTTGCAACGCTTGGGCCACGGCGTGCAAGACGGGCAAGCACTGGCAACATGCAAACCGCTACAACGACTTCGAGAAAGAGGAACGTGTGAGGGAAAAGGACAGCCGGGCTCGCCCCACAGCCCCTGCCACAAGGCGGGTAGCAGGGTGGACTGCGAGAACGGAGTGCAGAGGCGCCAAGCGAGGAGAGGAAGGTGAACCCCTAGTCATCATTTACATATCCAGGGCAACAGCTTGCGAGATGGGCGGGCAGTGGCAGCAGGGGCGGCGCGCAGGATCCATGCCCTCCGCTCCAAGGCAGGGATCAACTCCCGCGCAGCGTGCCCACCTTGCACGGCAGGGCTGCGCAAAGCACAAGCGACCAGCTGCGGTGCAGGGATCAGCTTGTGCGGAAGAGGCGCAAGGAGTGCTCGGGCCACGGCAGGAAAGCGCAGGCACGGGGAAGGCGCGGTCGTGGTGCGGGAGCCGCGGCGGCAGCAAAGTTGAGATCAGAGCCACTTTCGCCCCGCCGAGGGGACCAGCACACGCGCGAGCCATGCCATCAGCTTCAGTGCTGGCATCCGTTCGCGCGGGGGCCGCAGGCTGGCGCGGCAGGCTGGCGCCAAGCTGGGACGCAGCGTCATCATCAGCTGCATGTCAGAGGGCAACACTCATCTACAATTGGGCGGGGAAACGCTTGGCGCAACAAAGGTGCACCCACCGCGCGGGCTGTGTCCGCGGATGCCTCCGTGTGGACAACACAAATCGCCCACGAATAATCCTCATCCTCCCTCCCCCTCCGCTTCTTTTCCCCACATTGTCCTCCCTCCCTCCTTCTCCTCCGCCACCTCATTCCTCCTTCCCCACATGTTCCTCCTCCTCGTCATCTTCCACTTCCTCCCACCTATCCCTTCTCCTCCTCCTCCTCCTTCCTCCTTCTCCTCGTTGTTCCCCTTCCTTGTGGGTTCTCTTCCTCCTCTTCCTTCTCATCCCCTCGTCCTCATCCATCCGCCTCTTCCTTCCCCTCCCCTCCCCCTCACCCGTTCACATCCTCCTCGACGGTCGCCTGGGCCTCCGCGCCATTTAGTTTTCGATGTTGGGTTCGGTGTTTGTGCCTGTATGAAGGATGATGAAGGTCTTGCACATTTTTGGGAGGAGATGAGGGTGATAGCAGGGCAGAGCGCAGGGGGAGACGGGGGATAGCGGAGAACGAGAGGGACGGGTGATGGAGAGGGCCGGGGAAGGGGAGAGGGGCTGACCCAGGGAGTGGGAGGGCAGGGAGGGAGGCAGAGTGGAGCCTGGGTGCCCCGACTTCGCGCGTCACGCCCCGCGATGCTCGACGCGCGATTCTCTTCGCGTGCTCGCGCCGCCGCCCTGGAGAACGGCACCTTTGCGGCCCGGGCCCCGACGCGTTGAGCGCGACTATCCCCGAACTCGTCGGGGTGACCCAGCGAGCGGAGTGGAGAGGGGCGGGGAGAACGATGGGAGGGGACGGGCACGGAATGGGGACGGGCAGTGGAGATGGGGAAGAGGACGGGAGATGGACGAAGAGGAGCGGAAGACAGGGCGACGGGGCAGGGCACTCGGAGTGAACAAAAAGGGTGGATGGGGCAACAGGCGGGGCCGCTGCTGCCTCTCCTCCTCCAGCTCCTCCCTCCCTCCTGACTCTTCGACTCCTCGACTCCTCGACTCCTCGTTCTCATTCACCTTCTTCCTCCTCCTCCTCCTCCTTCGCGTCCTCCTCCTCCTCCGCCTTCCTCCTTCCTCCTTCCTCCTTCCGCCTTCCTCCTTCCTCCTCCCTCCTCCGTCCTGCGTCCTCCGTCCTCCCTCCTCCGTCCTGCGTCCTCCGTCATCCATCCTCCGTCCTTCGGCCTTCATCCTTCGTCCTCCTCCTTTTCTCTTCTTCCTCCTCCTCCTGAATGATGGTGAGGGCTGGAGGAAGAGGAGCGAAGGGGGCGGTCCGGCGCGCACGACGACGTCGCCGCTCCCCGAGCCGCTGCTGAAGCACACGCGCCATGTAGGCCGGCGTATGGTCACGAGGTACCTGGAGTGCTCTTCGTCCTCGTCATCCCCCTCCGCATGCTCTTCCCTATCTCTTCCTACCTCCTCCTCCTCCTCCTCCTCCTCCTTCTCCTCGTCCTCCTCCTCCTCCTCGTCCTCCCTCCTCCGACCCTCTCCTACCCCCTCCTACCCCCTCCTTTTCCTCCCTCCTCCTCCCTTCCTCCTCCTCCTCCTCCTCCTCCTCCTCCTCCTCCTCCTCCTCCTCCTCCTCCTCCTCCTCCTACTCCTCCCTTCCTTCTTTCCTTCCTTCCTCCCTCCCTGCTCCTGAATCCTCCTACCTCTTCCTGCTTCCTCCTCCTCCTCCTCCTTCCCCTCCTCCTCCTCCTCCCGATTCCCCCTTCCTCCTCCTGCCTCTCCTGCCGTCTTTTCCGTTCGAAAACAGCTTTCGCGTTACCCCCGGCCCACCCCCTGGCATGCGAGCACAGCGAGACGCTTCATCTGACGTTCGCCGACGACCCCCTCCTCCTCACCGCTTCCTCGAGCCGAGCAATGCCTGGTCAGCCGACGGCTCCGCAAATGGTCTCGGACGTTCGAGACTGCCGATCTCAGATGTCCAACCGGAACCAGGATGGCCCGATGCCATCCCGATCAATCCTTTTGACTGTTCCTTATCCTTATTCCGTATGTGTTCCTTCTCTGCCACCCGGCCAACTGATAAGCCGCCGGTCCTGGGACCCATCATCCTACTGAGTATACTGGTTGCGGGTAACGAAAAAAACGGCTAAATCTACAGTATCGCCTTCACCATGGCCATTATGTCGTACATGTGGCAAGCTGCGTGGCAAGAATGGGACGGGGCACGCGTCCCGCGCGAAAGGCCGAAACGTCGCTCTCTCCTCGACACCGCGCTCATTTTTCTACAGAATTGAGCTCCCGCTGGGGCACGCCGCATACGCAACTTCGTCGATGCGCGAGCGGACGAAAATGCCGCTCCTGCCTCGTCGCCGCGCACACGTTTCATTCGCCAGTGTTGTTTGGGACCCGCGCGAGCGGGCGACGTGTCGTCCTCGCAGAAAGTCCGCGCGCATTTCGCTCGGAAGTGGCGTTCCCCCGCGAACGCGGCGCACCGTTTGCTCGTCGAATCGCGTGACAGCGGCAGCGGCAGCGGGGCCGCGCGAAAGCGGACGGAGTGCCGACCTCGCCCATTCGCCACGCAGTTCGTGAGTGAAAGCGGCAGTGTTTTGTCGGCACGGGGCGTGCTTTGTCTTCGCCGCGCCCATTGGAAGTGTTTTCCTCTCGCAAAGTCGTCGGCAGCGGGGCCGCGGGCGATCACCTGTCGTTTGCTGGGCGGGAACGCGTTCCATTCCCAATGCCAGTCTGTGCCACACATTGCCTCGTATGGTGTGAGAGGGGGAGTGGGAGTACAGTGGAGGCCAGTCCACACGAAACCTTCCACAAGAAATCCAAACCTGAGACCCCAGGACGTCCATAGGTGATTGGTGTGGGAACGTCACGCTTTCCATCGCAAAACCATCGAAACCCAAGAAATCCAGGGCAGCAAGCAGGGTGATTCTTGGCATGGGGCCCCACTGTAAGCGAGGCCCCCTGACTCGCTCGACCAGGCCAACTTGACTTGTGTGGACTTCCACTCTGCCATCCGGCGGCCCGGTATCTGGGCAATCCGGGTCTTTTAATCCCGCCCTTGAAAAAGAAAGCAATTCAATGCCGACGTTGTATTCTTCAACTAATGATAATGATAAAATAATCATAATAATATTGATAATAATACCATTAATAATAATAATCGTAATAATAATAATAAGAATCATAATAATAATAATAATAATAATAGTGCTAATCATCATGATAATAATACAAGTCAGAAGAAGACAACTTATAATAATAATCGTTGTCTTCGACGTAGCCACACTCGTAATACAGATGCAGCTTCTGCGCTGCCTTCGCGAGGGCCTGGCCGCCGAACTCGACGGTAGGTCACGCGAAATTGTTTCCTAGGAAGGCCTAGCACTGTGGTTATCTTCAGCCACCAGCGACTGTACACTCGACGACGACGGACAGAAGGATAGAGGCCTCCTCAAATGTGACCGGTAGACAGTGACCCGCAGACAAGGTCGGAGGATGGCGCCGCATCGGCGACGTCGATGATGCATCGGCGACGTCGAGGTGGAGACGATCATCCTCCACATCGCGCAGCATCGGCGATGTGGCGCGACATTCCGACCCCATGCGCTCAGACCCTATCTGGGAGGCCTGGACGCGAGGAGGAGGAGGAGGAGGAGGTGGAGGAGGGGGAGGAGGAGGGAGAAGGGGAGGCGGAGCAAGCAGAACAAAACGCCAGGCAAGCCTAGAACAACGCGCACTGCTGCTGCTCTCTTGCCCCTGCTCTCCCACTCTTCCGCCTCCTCTGCCTCCGCCCCTCCCCCCCTTCCTCCGCCTCCTCTTCCATTCCTCTTCCTCCCCTTCCGCCTCCTTCGGCTCTGCCTCCGCCTCCTCTCCTATTCCGCTCTGCTGCGAGCTCTCATGCGTTCCTGCTGCGCCCCAGCGACGATGCTGAGGGAACCCGGGGCAACTCCCGCGGGCAAGGCAACCTGCGAAAACGCTGTTGGCCGAGGCCTGCACCAATTTGGTACATGGTGTGTGCTGCACGCGTGTTTCAATTACCCCTCCCCTCCCCCCACTCAATCACTCACTGAATTCGTGGCGCGCCAACGTCTGTGCCATCAACAACGCCGCAACGAGCGCGCGGAGACGCCATCGACCGTGCCGCGGCAGCTTAGCTGGCACTGTGCACCTGCGTCACCTTCCCGCCACTGCTCCTTCCCCCGTTGCGCCGGGGAGGTCTCAAGGGAGCCTGCCCCCCCGCCCGCCGTGATGGCGCCCATGGCCGCCCCGTCGAGAGGAGGGGAACGACACGGGGGAGAGAGGCCTCCGAGACGGGGTCAGATTAGATGTGGTCGGAGATTCGTGCCGCATCGCCGACGCGTCGGCGACACATTGGCGACGTCGGTGTTGCATCGGCGGCGTCGGCGCGGAGAAAGTCGGGCTCCGCATCGATCCGCATCGCCGATGCATCGGCGAGGAGGCGCGATCCTCCGACCCCAGCTTCTCCGGCCCCATCGGGGACGCCTAGACGAGAGGAGGGAGGATGCCGAGGACGACGGGGAGCAGGAGGGAAGTGGGACGAGGGAGGGGAGGGAGGGATAAGCCTATATCAGCGGTCTCTCCGCGCTCTTCTGCTTACCGAGGGCAGAGCACGAGGGAGGGCACCTGGGCCCCCCGACCGCGGTGGCGTCCACGGTCACCCAGCCGTGGGGCAGCACTGGCATGCGCCGGAGCCCCTTCGCCTGGTCGGTGATGAACGCCTCGGCCGGCCCCGCCTGCTGAACGAAGTGGCCGGGCGGCACCCGGAAGATCTCGTCGCTCATCAGCGAGATGTCCCTCGCGAGAGAGGAAGAGGAAGAGGAGAAAGGAGGGGTGGGCGGAAGGGGGAATGAGGGAGGAAGGGGAGAGGGATTGGAGGGGGGGGGAGGTGGGCGAGGGGAGGAGGGAAGGATGAAAAAGAGGGGACAGGAAGGCGGACAGGACACGATACGACGCAACAGTTTTGGCGACAATGTCACTATCAAGCGGGAACTAACAAACCCTTGAGAGGTCCAAATCATTCCACGCGGGTCGAAAGAATTTGCAACCACGCCACTCATCAAACTTTCAGGCTGCAAGTTCGCGCTCAACTAGTTCTACAACCACTATATGGTGCGATGAACCTAACCTTGATGTGCGTCGGTGTACGCTCTAGCGACGGCGCTGCAACTCACAGGCCCATCCCGAAACCGTCCCGCATCGGCAACCACCGACATATTGGTAACCGATAGACGCAACGAAATGTAAACTTCGTAACTGGCCCTTCGGGTGATAACGTTGCTGGGGGATGGGTGTTTTTACCGATTCGCGATTGGCTTCGCATCGGATTGGCAATGAACTTACTGTTATCAAGCATCTAGCTTTTCTAATAACCAATGCGATTACTATATTATGTCTGTCCAGTGCCTGAGTACGACTAACAACAATCATTATGCACCGCTGCATCTTTTCAAATACTGTGAACTTGCCTAGACATAGTGATCTATGCCCCATAACAAGATCTCACGTTCTATCTCCGGCTTGTCATGCATTCGAACCCACGGGACTCCTGCGCGGTACTACAATCAACGAGACAACCACAAAACAACCTACGGGACGACCCACGAATAAACCCAAAAACCACGGGATACCCTACAAGACAACCCGACAACCCGCATAACAAGCACGAGACAACCCAGTCCGACACATCTTCGCCCTCGCGCAGCTTCGACTCGCCCGCGCGCGCGACACGAACCGAAACCGATGGGTCGTTCTCACCCCGACCCCAATCGCCGATGGCGCTACTTACGTATTGACAGACGAAAATTTGTTGACTGAGCACTGCGTGGCACAATATCAACGACGGTGCCGCGAGCATGTAGTGGAATGCCCCCAAGGCTCGTTCAATTGCGAATGCTGAGTGCGCCGATTTAAGGCACCTCAAGTGCTAGGACAGCCGAGTCATTTCAAGGCACCAAGGCCTGTCCTTGCCAGGTGTCTCCCAGGGCCCCATCTTGTTGAAGCAACTGATATATACTGAAAAGACCACCCTCCGGGTGGTGGGTGGTGTGGAGGTTGGGGGAGACGGATCGCAATCGGATCGAATCGGGTTCGCAAGCTAAATGCCTAAAGATGTCGCTATCGATCTATCGATCTCAGTATCTATCGGCCTCACTGCCCCACAAACTATATACCCATTGATTCCACTATTACCATCTACGCATGCATGACTCTGTATGGCGTTTCGACATTGGGCGGAACGGGGGGGAGGGGAGTGGGTCTGGCTCTGGACCTCTGCCTAATGCGACTCTTTGCAGCAGTGCGTCCTGTGGGGGAGACCCCACTTGCTTGAAACAGGCGCCACAAACCGCCCAAATCTACTCCATGGGGAAGGGGCGATGGGGGGGGTGCGAAGGCCCGCGCCGATCGGCAACCCAATGAATAAGAACACGATCACTAATTCTGTACCGGCCACCGCTCTCAGTCCACCAGCATCACTATCCATCGACCTCTCGATCCCACTGAATATCTGTCGATATCGCTAATTCTCGGTCGAAACAAACATATGCCGGTCTCCCTGATCGTCTTTCAATTCCACTGTCACGTGCACATACATGTCGCCGTAACTATCGATCTTTTTGTCGGGGTCTGACTATGTCTACGATCTCCGTACGGTGTCACTATCTGTTTTATCGGTCTCTCTATCTATCGATCTCCCTACGGGACAGCTGCATGACAACGCGGAACAACAAGGACGGGACAAACACGCGACAAGCATGGGGCAAATACGGGGACATCCACAGGACAACAACGGGACAACCACGGAACAACCTGGGGACAAACGCTGGGACAACCGCTGCGACAACCGCTGGGACAACCGCTGGGACACCCTCGGGACAATCGCCGGTACATCCGCTGGTACAAGCGCCAGGACAATCGGAACAACCGCCCGACAGCCCTGGGATAACTCCAAGACAGGCCACCAAACAAGCGTCGGGGCAGCCCCGTCCCCCGGCGCGCACACGAGGGCGAAGCGATCTAACGTGAACCACCCCTGACTAGGGCAAGATCGCTCTTGCTCTCGCGCAGCTTCGCCTCGCCCGCACGCACGTCACGAACGGCACAGAACGAAGTCCGAAACCTGAATCGATTTGCTGGAGGGGGCACGCGATTTCACTTCGGTCTCACACCCCAGCCTCCAACCTCATGGACTGCTCTCCGGGTGATCAATCATGGGGTTTGGGGAGGAGCTTGCATGTCGATGCTCATTTCGATGTTGATTCCGACCTACGTCCCGATTGCAATGTGATTTCTTTTCGATTTAGCCTGAGGTTTGCATGTGTATGTTAATGTTACTTTCGTGGTGTACTACGGCTTGCGTGAATTCGTAATTGTATTAGGTCTTGCATACTTCGAGGAAGATTTCGATTGCAGTGATAATCGAAGTCCGACTAGCAATCCCCTTTCCATCCCGGCTCAACTTATGATTTGCATATTGACTGTACTTGGATTTGAGAAGTGTCCGGTTTGTGTTCATTGCGGGGTTTTCGGAAGGATGTGCGATTTATGTTTCGACGTGTACTTTGAATCGCTTCTTTTATGTGCACAGAACTCATGCCATTGAGCTTGCATTTCGCACGGGGCAGCCACTGGACAACCCACGGGCAAACCCATGGGACATCCACAACAGAACCCGCGGAGCAACAGCCCACGAGACAATTCGTGGGAAGACCGTGGTTCAACCCACGAGGCAAACGCAGGACAACTGAGGGACAACCAAGCGACAAGCGACATCCGGGCAACAACAACACCAACAGTCATGCTACCCTCGTGCGACGTGCTTCTACATGCCACATGCATACATCGAACTGAATGGAAGAGGGGAGGGGGGACGTTACTCCCACAGCCAGATCTCCTGCCCAAGGAGGTCGAGCCAACACCCACCTCTCCTGAGGCATGCGCGACACATAAAAAACAGTGCGACCATGAGGAACGGTTAGGATTCCAAACACTAAGGATTCGAGCTCCAGGAGAGGGGCAATCTGTAGGAGCATCGATGAAGCACTAAAGATTCGAGCCCCAATCGAATGGAATATGCAGGAACATCCGTAAAACACTGAGGAACACCAACACCAACGAAGAACAACGCAATCAGAGGAGAAACATGTTGTACGACTTGGGCCGACCTGCTCTGACACATGGTCGCCCTCGCGCAACTTCGCCCCGCCCGAACGCGTGACACAGACCGAAACCGACACCGATTTCCTGGTTGGGACCACTGCGTTCTCATGACGCACCCTCATATGTTGCTTTTTGGTGTGCCTCGAGCGCTACGCCGAGTCAGGTGCTCCGAATATTTCGCATCAAAGCGGGTCCAAGTAGCCCCAGGATACCCTCCAGGAGCTCCACGGAGGTTCCCCAGAGACCGTGTACAAGCTTTTCAAAGACCCCTGGATGCTGCAAAACACGCTGGCAGAATGGGCCATACGCCACTGGATAAATGCGAACTTCCAATTCGATTTCTGGGCCCGCACACCCAAGATACGTTGTCTTTTCGAAGCTCAGATCAGATGCACACATCGACCATGATGTCCCCCTGCTCTCACGCTTCGCCTTCCACATCCTCGCAACGTGGGATGGGGATGAAGAAAGGGGGAAGGGAAGGGCGACGCATGGGAGCAAGGGCTGGGGATGGGGACTGGCAAAGGGGAAGGGGGGAGGCGAGAAGGGGCTGGGGGGGGAGGGGGATAAAGGTGATAGGAAGGTGTGGCATGGAGGCAGAAGGGGTGGGGGAGAGAATGACGTTGGGAAAGGGGTTCGGGAAGGGAAGGGAAGGGGGGAAGGAGGGGGAGGTAGGGACGGGAGACAGGGGAGGGAGAATGCGACAGAGGGGGATGTGAACAAGTGGAGGGGATAGAGAGGATGGAGGTGGAGAGAAAGGGGGGCGGCAGGGCGAGCAGAAGGGGATGGACAGAGTTTCGGGCTCAAGACCTCCGCACAACAACGTCGGAGCTCTCCGCGTTCCTCCACCACTGCCCACGCTGCGTCTCGTGCAGCACCTGCGTCTGGCCGTGGTCCTTCGCCGCGGTGGGCCCAATCCTCCTGGCCTCCCGGGCCTCCTCTTTCTCCGCCTCCCTCTCCTCCTCCGCGAGCGCGCACCCCAACCGTCAAATCATGCCAAATCCTTGGGCGTGGAGCCAAGACGACGAGCGGTGTCTCCTCCTCCCCCTCCTCCACAAGCTCCTCCTCTTCATCGTCGTCATCGTCGTCATCCTCCTCCTCCTCCTCGAACGCGCACATGATTTTGACCTCCCGAATTCTCCCGAGTTGCTCATGAAATCCAAACTGACTGTTTGGAATGGCGCGGCGAGACCTTTGACCGCTTCATGCGCCTGTACCCTGAGGAGGCCCTTCGAAATCGAAGGTAAGCTTGGTTAGAGATAGGTGGTCCGCGCGGCCTCATCATCGCACTGGCCCCCCTTCCACACACCCGAAGCACACGATCCATGGCTCGAGCGGCAAACCCGAACGCGTGAACCTGCGCCTGCACGTTTAGATCTGCGCCTCAATCAGAATCCTTGCCACGCGCCCCACAACCCTTTCCTCGCTCACGAGGGATGTGAGCCATTATGGCTTGGGCTGGTCCTCCAAGGAAGTTGCGTGGGACGGGAGGCCATCAGCTGCTGATTACCACACGTGGAGGAGAGGTGAGGAGGGGGGAGAAAGAGAGAGAGAGAGAGAGAGTGTGTGTGTGACAGAGAGAGGTGAGGAAGCAGAGGGGGAGGAAGGGCGAATTCCCACACCAAAGAGCTCATGCTCTCACGCATCCCCTCCTCCCTTCTGATCCTCCCATGGGTACTTTCTGATGGCGCTCTCGGACTGGCCTCTGGACGCGGGACCGTTGAGGGATAGCCCCCGGCAACTGACAATCCATCACGGAAGCAACTTGGGCAAGACCGAGTTCACTGCACGGTGTGCTGGCACGAAAAATGAGGCACATGACCTTCGGCGTGGAGGATACCTGCCCCACAATGTGTGTGTGTATGTGGGAACGATAAACACAACATGACGGCGTGGAAATGTCGTGGGATTTCTAGGGCCCCCCCAGGCCTTGAGCCGCGATGCGGAGCAGCAACTGGAGCTTGGCGGGATCTGGCCAGCACGCGACTGAACGGACTGATTCCTCTTGTGGCAGCGAGGCACCCCGAGACGCGCAGAAAGAGCGAACAGACATACAGAAGCACCTCGAACCTCGACCTGCGTGCAGGGAGACTGTGCCAAGGCGCTTGACATCCCACTGATGATAGTAAGATGAACCGCTGACCTTTCTCCTCCAGGGAGAGAAAGTGCAATGTCCTCAGTCAGCCATGCTCTGAGCCAAAGAGGGCGGCGGAGAGCAGGAGCCGGGGGGGAGGGGATACCTGGGCACACGAGCACACGATCCCCACCGATCTCGCGGGCCGTCCTTGACGTGTCTCCCCTTGGTCGGCCCCTTCCAGGGCCGTCCACTTCGACAGCAACACCATCGGCCTCGAAGCCCATTCAAAGGACTCCCAGTCGGGAACAAGAAGGTGCGGCCGGGGCACACCAAAAGCAATCACTGGCAGCCATTGCCAACCAAATTGTGGCGGGGGTAAGACTCAAGAATGAATCGGTTCAGACTCCCATGGAAGATCTGGCGGCGCGTGAAAGATCTGGCGGCGGCGCTTGCAGGTTTGCCCCATGAGCTCGCGGTCGCCTCCAAGCACTTCCAAGAGTATCCCGAGGCACTCGCAAACGCTCGCAAGCACGCGCAAGCGCTCCTAGCGCCAGAGCTCGCAGCATCATGCAGAAAACAAATGCGGGGAACAGCCGGCACCATGGCGGCGGGCCCGCCATCAAAAATTAACTCAAAAATAGCGGCGTCGGGGGAGGGGGACACCTATCCAATACAAGAAACCTAGAAGGGCGCCACAACGCGGAAACGGCACAGTCACCGACCGAACCGAACCGACCGAACGCAACGGACTGCGACGCGGCCGAACCGACCGAACCGCAAACACCCTTGCCTTCTCCTTGCTAGATGAGCGCGCGAGCGCACGATCTCTGCCAACCTCACGGGCCGTCCTTGACACGCCTCCTTCGGCTACGCGCGAGTGTGACCCTAGGCAAGAGTGACCTTTGGTGCGCGACTCTCGGGAGCCGCGAAATCCGAGCGCGCAGGACGCTGCTGTTGCATCGCACTCAGCCATCTGGGGGCCCCCGTGTGCCCGCACTTAAAATCACTCCGGCGAAAGATCATCTTACGTGTAGCCGGCTCCTCTTGGTTGGCCCCCTCTTCTCCCCCGGATGGGCTCACGCGAGCACGCGACCTCCGCCGATCTCGCAGGCCGTCGTTGACGAGTCCCCCTCTGGTCGGCCCCTTCGCCTTCGCAGGATGGGCACGCGAGAATGCATGGGGAGGCGCAACGATACCGATGCCGATGCTCCCCGGACCTCTCCTGGGGTGCGTTCTGTCCAAATGTTCGAGGCGAATCCAGCCATGGCGGCGAGGGCTTCCCAGGGGGCCCTAGAAGGCGAACACGAGGCAAAAAGGAAGCGGCATCGGCACCTTTTCCTCCCCAGGCGTCGCAAGAAATCAAGGATGTGAGAAAAGACAACCAGAACCCTAGACCCACCCCATCTTTCTGCGGCATCTCTCGAATCGCATCGATCCGTGAGGGTCCCAGGGCCCGAATCCATGCGAAACCGCCTGGTGTAAAACACATTAGACGCCAGGATCTCGAACCTCGACCTGCGTGCAGGGAGCCTGTGCCAAGGCGCTTGGCCCCCAAGTGAGTCGTAGGATATCCCGATGACCTTCCTCTTGATGCAATATTCTCAGTCAGTCATGCTCTGAGCCAAAGAGGGCGGCGGAAAGCAGGAGCCGGGGGGGAGGGGATACCTGGGCACACGAGCACACGATCCCCACCGATCTCGCGGGCCGTCCTTGACGTGTCTCCCCTTGGCTGGTCCCTTCCAGGGCCGTCCTCAGCGACAGCAACACCATCGGCCTCGAAGCCCATTCAAAAGACTCCCAGTCGGGAACAAGAAGGCGCGGCCGGGGAGCACACCAAAAGCAATCACTGGCATCGCCAAACAAATTGCGGCGGGGGCAATTGGGCGCCCGAGTTATCCGGGGTAACTCGGGTCCGGGGTAACTCGGGTTTGGATTCCCGAAAAAGGAACCCGAGTTAGCCCTGACCCGAGTTACCCCTGATGATTCGGGGCTCTGGACGCCCGAGTTATCCGGGGTAACTCGAGTCCGGGGTAAGTCGGGTTCGGATTCCCGAAAAAGGAACCCGAGTTAGCCCTGACTCAAGTTACCCCTGATGATTCGGGGCTCTGAGGCAAGACCCCCCCCGCCGATCTCGCGGGGCCGTCCTTGACGTATCTCCCCTTCGTCGGCTCCTTGTCCTTCCCCTTGCCCTTGCCCTTGCCCTTGCGGTCGCCGAGGCGCGACTCGGGCGCCCGCCGCTCCTCCTCGGGGGGCGCGCCCGCGCCGCCGTCCGTTGTCCGCCGTCGGTCGTCCGTCGTCGTCCGTCGTCGTCATTCGTCAGTCGTCAGTCGTCAGTCGTCAGTCGTCGTCGTCGTCGTCGTCGTCGTCGTCGTCGTCGTCGTCGTCGTCGTCGTCGTCGTCGTCGGCGGCGTTCTCGGCGGCGGCGGCGGCGGCGTCGGCGTCGGCGTCGGCGTCGGCGGTGTCGGCGACGGCGTCGTCGTCGTCGGCGTCGTCGAAGGTGTCGGTGTCGGCGTCGGCGTCGGCGTCGGCAGCGTCGGCGTCGGCGTCGGCGTCGGCGTCGGCGTCGTCGTCGTCGGCGTCGGCGTCGGCGTCGTCGGCGTCGGCGTCGGCGTCGTTGGCATCGGCATCGGCGTCGTCGCTCCTCGAGATTCCGGTGTTCGAAGATCTTGAATCACCTCGGACCCTTCTGGGAGCCTCCAGGAGGCAACCCTCCCCCTCCCTGCTCCTGGTTGATCCCCCACCCCCTTTCCCCTGTTCATCCACCTTGTTCTCCTGCTCCTTCTTCCCTTCACGCTTCTTCCTCCACCTCCTCCTCCTCCTCCTCCTCCTCCTCCTCCTCCTCCGTCTCGTGTTCATCCTCCTCCGTCTCCTCCACCGCCTCCTGCGTATCATCACTCCTCACCCCATCCTTTTCCTCCATACACTTGCTTCCCATGTTCCTACTCATTTGTCCCCATCCCGCCTCTCCTCTCCCTTCTCCTTCCTCTGTCCTCCTTTCTACCTCCTCCATGTCCCTCTTTCTCGTCCTCCCCCTCCCTCGTCGTCTTCTTCGTTCATCCTGCTCCTCCACTCCTCTAGTTATCTCCTCCCCCTCCTCCTCCTCCTCCAACTCCTCCTCTTCCTCTTCCACTTGTGGCTCCCTGGCTAATTGTAGGTATGGCGCAGCTTACTTCCGCCATCGCGGTTGAGGATGCTACAGTCGTGGATGAAAAAGAACAACTGTTGGTTGAATGTATAGCTGCACTTGTTCCCATTCGCGGTGACACTGCTTCCCGGCTTCCTCATCACGTGATTTGCCTCTACTTAGGGGTTTCCGGCCGTTGGTGTGAGCAACATCCTCCTCCTCCTCCTCGTCCTCCTCCTCCTCCTCCTCATCCTCATCCGCATCCTTCTCATCCTCCTCATCGCTCCTCCACCTCCCCCTCCTCCTCCTCCTCCTCCTCCTCTTCCTCCTCCTCCTCCTCATCCTCTCCCCCTGCCTCATGTCCTTCCTCCCTCTCTCCCGCCTCTCCTCGCTTCTCCTCCACACTCCTCCTCTTCCTCCTCCTCCTCCTCCTCCTCCTCCTCCTCCACTCCTCCCCCCTCCTCCTCCTCCTCCTCCTCCTCCTCCTCCTCCTCCTCCTCCTCTCCTCCTCCTATTCCTTCTTTCTTCTCTCCTCCCTCCTCCTCCTCCACCACCTCCTCCTCCTCCTCCTCTTCCTCCTCCTCCTCCTCCTTCCTCCTCCTCCTCCTGCTCACTGCTCCTCTCGCTCCTCCTCGCTCCTCCTTCCTCCACCTCCTCCTCCTCTCCTCCTCCTCCTCCACCACCTCCTCCACCTCCTCCTCATCCCCCTCTTCCTCCTCCTCCTCCTCCTCCTCCTCCTCCTCCTCCTCCGCCTCCTCCTCGTCCTCCTCCTCCTCCTCCTCCTCCACTGCACGCTTGGACAGCAAGGACGGAGGGGAAGAGGATGGGAAGTCCTCGGCGGGCGCGGGCGCCCCCGGGATAACCAGAAACTTCAGCGTCGCTAGCCTCGGATCTCAACGCGCGGGCGGAGCCGCGCGGGCCGGACCATCGCAGCGGTCGGCGGCCGCCGCGCGGTCAGCGATCGCGGCGATCGCGCGACCGTGTGGGCGGGTCGGCGCGGTCGGCGGGGCGGCGAACGCGCGATCAGCCGAGTGGAAGCGGTTCGGAGTGGAGCGGCGCCGATGTCGCCCAGAGGGTGTCCTGTGTAGGGGATGGCGGGTGCGCTTGGGCGCCTCTGGTGGACATGTAAACGGAAATGGGTTGCATTGAAGGGGTAGGGGGGGCAAGCGGGGGGGGGGCAAGACCACATCCCCATGCTGGTGCATCTCTGCCAGAGGAGGGTGGCCGAGGGGAGGCGGAGGAGGAGGAGGAGGCGGAGGCGGAGGAGAAGGTGGAGGAGGAGGAGGAGGAGGAGGAGGAGGAGGAGGAGGAGGAGGAGGAGGAGGAGGAGGAGGAGGAGAGGAGGAGGTGCAGGAGGAGGAAGGTAGGAGGAGGAGGAGGAGGAGGAGGGGATGGGGAGGATGACGGGGGAGGGGGGGGGGGCGGGAGCGGATCTCGAGGAGGAGAGAGGGAGGAGCCGGAGGGGAGAGGGAGCGGGCTGGGGGCAAGAGGGGGAAAACAAGGGGCGGACGGGAATGAGGGACGGGGGGGCAGTGGGGGAGAAGGCGGCGGAGCAGAGGAAAGAGCAACGAGGAAGAGCCAGGGGGGAGGCGGAGGATCAGCGGCAGCAGCAGGGAGAGAAGGAGATCGAGGAATGAGAGGGAGGAATGTGAGGGATGAGGAGGGACGAGAAGACATAAGGACAAGCGAGGCGCGCTCGTGCCATACGTGGCATCCTACCCGTCCCACACGTCCCTTCCCATTGCGCCGCTTTTTTCAGTATCGGCCGATGGGTGTCACAGCAGACCTGACACCCTCAAACGGACCTCATTGCGCTGTGTAGAATCGGGACAGGGTAACCTGTGAACATTGGAGAAAGGGAAGGTGGCGGATGAGCCAGATGATGACCATAGAGGATTATATAATCATAAAAAGGAGAAAAGAGGAGACGAAGAGGAACAGCAGTAGCATGAACAAGAGAAGGAATCGGAGGAGCGGGAGGCGCAGGAGGACCAGTGGAAGGCGGACGAGGGGAAAGGGGCGGGGCGACAACGACGATGAAGGACTCGAATCCAGAATGGTGGCCCGCGCTGTGGCGAGAACGCCATCTTGAACAACAGGTGCAAAGTGTCCACCCCAGAACCCTAGAATGAAGCCGCAGCTGCAGCGAGAACATCATTTTGAAACATCGGCAACGTAGCGGTTGAAACCACCACATCAAGGAACACCGATTGGAATCCTGCACGCTGAAACCCAATCTGATGAAGAACGCAAGCCACGTTTGGACAGGATCTGGGGATAGAGGAGTCTTATTCATATTGAGTGGTAATGGTGCCTACTCCTCGAGGCCAGGGCTTACCATAGGAGACATGACTTCGAGCCCGTCGCAGAAAACTTCGTCTCGGGATTGCTGCGCGGACCGGCGACGCCGCCAGGGGGCTTCACAAGGTGCTGCAATGCCTGAGGGCGTGAGCGCGGAAGGTGGACCTTATCCAACAAGTCGGCTGCCGCGGCATGTTCGAGCAACTATCGGGTGCGGGGGACCTCGGGAGAGACTGTGGCGTGTCGGGCGCTGGCCGACTCACAAAACCAGGCAGGCAGAGCTGTAGAGGTCGAGGCGATCGTGCCAGACATAAGCTCATCTCGTAAAAAAGTTATGAGTCGCCCGATGTTTCGAACCAGTGTCCCACCTCGTCCTCGAGCCATTCCAATCGAACTACCCAACGATGGAAAATAACGGCCCCTTCTGCCACCAGCGCGCGCCGAGGAGGCTGAGGAGGGGGAAAAAGGAGGACAAGGAAGAGCAGGACGAGCGACTACCAGGGCGAGGGAATTGCAACAATCCTCCAGGGACACCAGATCCCTGTAATCATATACCAAAGGGGACACCGCCACTTAAAGACGGCGGCGCCGAAACAAAGAAGACCCGCCCCAACTCTGTAAATTAAGCAAAAGTGTCGCAAACATACCGGTTACCAATGCGGTTACGGTTGCAGAGGAATCTGATGGCCTCAATTAAGTCCTTGCCCCTTTTTCGTAACACGTGGCCTGCTCAGGGGCGTCCGGAACCCCCGCGCCAACTAACGCGTCACCGCTCGGAGGGTTTATTTTACTTCTACTGGCATCCGCTGGCGGAGCACCCAAGTTTTGTTTTTGCCGCCTTCTGTCGAAGGAGAGATTTTCCCGCGAGGCGTAGAGTGCAACCGTGCTGGCCGAGAGTGTCAGGGCGAGAAAACCAGCGAGCTAAAGAGAAAGTCAGGCTACGCTGGGCGCGAGGCGTCCTCGAGAGCAATCGCCTTGGCGGTGAAAGACGAGATCGGAGAGACGAAGAACCTGCCCGCCATGCAGAGCGGGAGTATTACCGAAGGTCCATTCACAAGTGCGTGGGCTTCAATGTGTCACGCCGCCGCCGAGCACCTGTCAGCGCGGGTACCCCCGTCCGCGTGGATGGAAAAATTCACGCTCTTGGCGTCAAGCCTGCCGCCGGGAGGCTCGAACCGTTGATTCCACGACCTTTCTACGTTCATAGTGTGATTCGCAAGATGGTCCGCCATCTTGTTCCAGCACCGCTGGTGTCACTGGATACGATTAGAACCACGCCGGTTCGGCAACCAACCGCCCTCCACCAGTCCGAAGAGTTTCCCAGTCACCCGGGTGAAAAGAGGGAGCAAGTCATCGTTCAACAACACGACGTCACCGTTGAGGATGCCAACCAACGGCTTGCAGTCGGTAGTAAAACAAAACGGCCTCCGGCGCCATCCCGTTCTGTCTGGGGTACTCCTTCCCATGAGGAGTGGGAAGCCCGCACAATCTATACGCGTCCGTCCTATTTTTCTTCGGGGGAGGAGGTAGCGAGGGCAGCGTGTACAAGTGGCGTGGCTCTGGGTCGACCAGCCTTGACATATTATACGACCTCAACCAATATGCAAATGTGGTACACGACTCGCGCTTGCGTCGCCAATCCACACCGTAAGCTACAGCAAACACATCTTCCCACTCAATGCGATACCCAATTCCTGCATGTACGAGGCCGTCTCTCCGCCTTTTGTCCCGTGACTGTAACGCCTGAACACCTTTCCAACACATCCGAATGCGGCAATTTCGAAAAGTTGCCAAGAAATTCGGAAGAGTACCGTTAGACTGAGACCTCTCTCTCCGAGCATGTTTAAAGACAGCCAAGAAGACTCGCACATGTATTTACTTGATCTTCGCGGTGTCCATGAATCGCTGGATCAGCCGGCTCGCTCGAACACAGTACTTGGCGCGCCCTTCGTCTGGCTTCCACCTGAAGTCAAATACCCTCCTGAGGAATCTGTTCTCCCAGCGCCTGACGCCCACCAGGATGTGCCTGCTCAAATGCCAAGAGCAAGCGCCGAAACACATTGAAGACGCCGGCCCGGCGGACCAGGCGGACCGAGGAAGAGATGCTATTTGTTCGACCTTCGCATGCGGGCCATTTCTGGAACGGCCCACTTCTGAAGGGGCATGAATGGGGGCAGCGCTGCGGCATGCTGCCGCCAGGAAACCACGTGCACGTCGAATACATCGTCGCCGTTCGCTCGCTGCCTGTCCTGCTGCTGCCCTGTTTCTGCCTGCTGCACGGCTCTACTGTGGACGCAGGCGGACTCATAATTTTCCAGGAAAGTTCGCAACTAGGGGCTTCCCAAAAAGGGTCAGCGTGGACGGGGTCGGAAGATTGCGCCGCATAGCCGATATATCGGCGATACAGCGATGATACATCGGCTATGCCTCGGCGACGTCGGCGACGCATCGGCGCCGTCGGCGTGCCGAGAGCCGGATTCCACATCGAGCCGCATCGCCGACGCATCGGCGATACGATCCGATCCTCCGACCCCATATCTGAAGGGCCTAAAGCGCAAGGTTGCGGCGGTCTCGCCGGACGGGGCGTCACGACGCGGTCCTGAAGGGGCGGGCTCTCTCGGGGGCGCATGGGCCCGTAAGGAGGAGCCTGCGCCGGCGACCTGCTGGACGGAGGGAGGATGCAATACTGCGGGCAGCCTGGCTCCCAGCGTGGCCGCGCGCCCACCACAAGGACGCCCCCCCCGAGGAGGAGGAAGCAGAGAGGGAAGGACAAACTAGGCGCGCTTGCGTCACACATGACATCCTGCCCCTCACTGCTACCCCTTCCCCTAGTCATTTGTCTTCTCACTGAATCGAGTATCAAATCTGACATTCATGCCCTAATGGTATCTGGGGTGCTTGACCCGTCATTCACCGAGGGGCCAAAGGGTGCTAAGAAGCCTTGGCGCATAGACCGATACCGAGGCTTCGGAACTCCTTCGACACAGAGCTGAAGAGGGGAGGAGAAATTGAAAGGAAAGAGGGGGGGACAAGTGTTGGCAGGAGGAGAAGGGGGGGGAGGAGGATGAGATAAGATAAGAGCACCGTCGACACCAGATGTTTCCCTGTCTTCGCAGATCATGGCATCGGTGAGGCGCGAACTCGCGCCAACAGAAGACGCCGACAGACACCCTGCGCTGGGAATCCAACGACTGGCCTGCGAGCGCCACGGCTCATGGATGGCCCACGCGCGTGCTCGATAGCACAAGCCGCCAGCCTCGTTGCAATCCCCCCGCCCCCGCCCACTCCCAGCCGTGCCCCGCCCCCGCCCCTTTCCTTTGCTGACGGTCTTCGGCCTTAAACGGCATTATTGCTGTCTTAATTCGGCGGCCCAACGTGCCAAAGGCGTGATAAGACCTCCAGTAACTGGTTCTAACAATATTCTACTTCGCGCGCGCGGGGCGGCCCCTGGGGGTCTCCGGGCGAAAAGTACCCCGGCAAGGTCCCGGCAGGTCCGGGTCAGAGATGCCGGACCGGGCAATTTTTCGACACCCCTCACGAGGATCGTGGCCTCCGAGGGGGGGGGCGCAATCGACTACCCCCCCTCCTGCCCCAAGTGGTCCCCAAGAGCCCCCCAAGAGGCCCTGGGGGTCTCCAAGACGCCGCCAAGGAGCCCCAAGAGACTCCCAAGAGGTCTCCAAGAGGCCCCCAAGAGGCCCTAAAGAGGGCTCCAGGGCCGGCGGAATGAGCGAAGCGATTAAATAAAGGTAATGCAGAACCAGGAGCGATACTTTCGTTCAGAAGCAGACTGGACATTCTCACCGAAAAAGCTTCGAGCCGAGCCGTTAACCTCCTCACTTAAGACTCAGTGCCTCCGAAGTCTCTCCTCACTCGTCTCACATTTTCTCGAGCTCTTCCAGCAGCTTCGACGCCTCTCGCTCCAAGGGTCCCCGAGGTGGCGGTCCTACCTTCAAGACTCCCGGGTCGTTTCGCAATGCCTTGCAGTCTCTTCAGGCGCCTAACCCTAAGTTCAAGCTCGAGCGAGCAAAGCCTCCAGTGGTTTCTGACATGCTCGTTTGACCATGACGTGTGCGTGCCTTCAAGCTCGGTGTGCGCCAATCCGCGCAACGCCTTCCTCGCCAGCATGCCTACAACATGCTGAAGCTCCGAAAGCTGACGAGCAGACGGGAGGTAGGCCTCTACATTCTGTGCAACCGTGCCAGTGAAGGAGGAGGAGGAGGAGGAGAAAGAGCGAGGAAAGAGAGAGGAGCCCACAATGCCTCCGGAACCATGACTTGGACAACCAGGACTCGAAAAACTCCGCCGGAAGAGAACACTGACTGGAGAAGGCTTCGACCCACGGCTGCAATTCTCTTGGGCGTACCAGATTCCCCCGCTCTATGGGGGCCCTAAAGCCCGCCACATCGGGGCGCCGACTCCCAGGCCCGAACAGCGGGGGCAACAACGCAGCCGCCGTCCGAACAGAAAGACCCGACGTACCGAGTGCGGGCGGCCGCTCTGCAGCGGCCGCCGCATTTTTTGGGCGGCGGGAGGCGACCGTCGTCGTCGTCGTCGTCGTCGTCGTCGTCGTCGTCGTCGTCGTCGTCGTCGCAAGTTTCTCCTGGGCGTGGGGAGCTCCGATCGGCGGCCACCGCGGGCCCGCCGGGGACGCTGGCGGCCCGGGCTCCTCCGGCTGTTCGATCTGGCCCATGCCTGTGCGGGTGGGGGGTGGGGCGGGCGAGCGAGCAAGCGAGCGATGTCGCTCTGGCGGGACCGGCCCTGTAGGAGGGCAGCGCGGTGGGGCTGGAAACTTCCAGAGTCCCTGAAGTGGGGAGGTGGGCGTCGACAGTTATCATGGGCGTCGAAGGTCGGTCCAGCGAAACTGAAGCTGGACGAAAGCGAAAGCTGGACAGCGCAGGGGCGGGGCGGGGCGGCCCCCCCCCCCGAGGGTCGGCCCCTGTCGCTCTGAGAGGGGGGGGCAGCGGCGCGCGGCAGGAGGACAGGGAAGGGGGGGGGGCAGGGAAAGGGGAGAGGGCCTCCCATCCCTCCTCCTCTTCCCTCTCCTCCTCCTCCTCCTCCTCCTGCTCCTCCTCCTCCTCCTCCTCCTCCTCCTCCTCCTCCTCCCTTCTCCTCCCTTTTCCTCATGTTCCTGCTCGTGCTCCTCCCCCTTCTGGGGCAAGACTGGTGCGCTGGTGTCATGCATGACCGCAGGTCTCTTTATCCCGTCCCTTTACCATGGAATTGGATGCCCTTACTTTTGTGAGCTCCGCGCCCAGCTCCTCTGACTGCTCAAAAACCCAAACTGACGACTGCAATGGACAAAATTGCAGTCGCCCTGAAATTACAGCTAATCAGACTCGTCTGACTTGTCCCCCACCTTTGGCACGGGCGGATCCTCATCGCTTCTGGGGGCGAAGCACGTGCACACACGCTAGAGAACGGCACTCTGCGAGGCGCCTTGACAAGGTGCTGCAGCGGTGCAATGAGGCACCGCGGCGCTCGGACAGGGCTCCACGTAGCAGCCTGAGAGCTGAAACGCTGAGTCAGGCCTTCGGCGTCCACTCTGACGCTTCGCAACGCAGCTTGCACAGAGAGCGAAAAAGCCCCTGCGCACGTAGTCCCACCCGGTCCTACCAGGCGCACTTAGCAGCAAGACCACGCGTCTGGCCTCCACTACAGGAGCATTTGCACTTCGTGCACATGAATCGAACCGAACTGTCCGAACAAGGAAAAGTAATGGCGCGATGTTCGTGCTCGCCCTGATAAGCTGTGTGAGCAACGGAATCCCTGGAACATGCACCAGTGGGGTGCTTGGCAGGGACACGAATGCCATGTAGGCAGTGCGCGCAGCGCCAGATACCTCCCCGGCGCTGCCACTCGTGACCGACAGCAGCGGCTGCGGCATCAGGTTGACATGCCGCCCTCTAAGCCGCGGACAGGTCAATGCCAGGCCAGAGGTGCAAAACGTGAGCAGCCACGCACAGAGCGTCGCTTGCAAACTGGAAATGGCGATCTGCCTTCTCCAAACCACACAGGCTGGAGGGATGAAGCGACGTGGGCGGTTTCGCCGAGACAGCCACGTGGTGATTGCCCTGCCTCCCGCGCCAACGCTCCTCCGCATCGGTCCCAGCTTCGTCCAGATCATGGTGGGCAAACACTTTACAGCAAGACTCAGGCGGGTCTCTTCGTTGACCGTGCACCTCAGGGAAAGCTCCCGAGTAAACTTTCTTGCCCGAAAGCTGCTCAACTTTAGGCGATATTGCTAAAATCGGAAAGACAGAAAACCGGCCGAAGTGAGCGCCGAGGCCCAGGTGGTGCAGCTGAACCCAGCCGGCTGAGAAGTCTGGGGATACGGATCCCATGTGGGAGCGCGAAATTCAACAACCATATCGCCATCGTCGTCAGTTTGAACTACACTGCAGGCGGCCCAAGACAACTCCCTGACAGGATGCCCCGCGCAAGTACTGCCAAGGAAAAGAGAGCCCCAAAGTTCAGCGCCAGGAACATGCCCAAAAGGGTGCAACATGTTCTTTCGGAGCCGCACGAAGAGAAGGACCATCATCCAACTCGGTCACAGGCTCGGGATACGAGTCGGCAGGTTGGCGAAAAGCCCCAGAGACGAAAACGAACATCTCACTGCTGTCCTCAGACTCCTTAGCTTGCAGCTCAGCGGCGATCGCATCGGGGCCGGCGACGTCTTTGCGGGGCGCGACGACGGGCTGGTGGGTGCACTGCCAGAGCCCGTGAGAGATGGCGTCGAGCGCTCCGCAGAGAGGACGCAAACCGCCGACCAAATATCCCTCGCGTCGGGCCCGGTGCCCCGTGAAAAAAAGCTTCCGCGGCGACGGCCCCGATGCGGGCCTCCTGCAGGGCCGTGAACTTCTCGCTGGGATGGGCCGCGCGACCGCTGGCTAGCGGGAAACGGGGCCTCTCGCCTCCCACCTCGAGCTCAAAAAGCTCGGACAGCGAGACGTCCTCGCAGAACCTGCGAAGGTAAACACAAACACGCTGCAAGACTCAAGCTTCTTGGCAACCCCGCTCTCTGAACGCGCCGCCTGTCGGAGCGCGACGTCGGTGGCGACTCGAAACTGACCAGCAGCGCAATGCCTCCCTGGGTTCTCCTGTTCCCAATCCATGGCCAGGGGCCGTTTCAGACGGCTCTAGACCGTGAACCAGGAACAGAAGACCCCGATGGATCTGTAGCCTCCAATCGGTTTCGGAAGCAGCGCGAGCAATACCGCCGAAATCTGCGGCGGCAAGTATCCAACAGCTTCTAGGGCAACAAAATCAGGCCCGAACAATCCAAGGCAGGATCGGGGAGCAAAAAGACACGCCTGCGCTGGAAACCATCGACAGGAGACTGCTGACGCTTCGCGGTGCGACTTGTAGATCTCCCAAATCTCGTCGGCCGACGGGCGGGGCAAGGGGGCGGCCGGAACGCCGTCGAGGGCGGCCCCGGAGCCGCGCATCCAAATCTGGGCACAAACGGGGGCAAAGGATCACTAGCAATGCAACCGTCACGCGAGAGAATGGAGGGGGGGGCCCGCGGAGCAGTGTCCTGAGTGGTATGGTGCGCTCTCTTTGCTCACTTGCCCACCCCGACGTGCAACCGAGCCTCCCAGTCGGACCGACACTTGGTCGCGAACTTGGGGTCGGCGGCCCCGACGGCCTCGAAAACCCGATTGTAGAATTCACCGAGCGGCCGCGCGCCCTCGGCGCATGGCACTACGCGGGAGACCTCCTGAGCCGCGCGTTCGGACATGGCCTGGTGCTCGCCTCGATCGGTGGGTAGCGATGCCGGCAAAGGGCGCCGCCAGTATGTGGCCGAGCCGCGAATAAGCGCACGCAATTGCTGCCCAATCCGCCCGATGGAACGATGCTCGGGATGGCCGGTCTGGCCGTTTCTGCCAGGAATCGAACGCCAGACGAGCCGAGGGCCAATCCTCCCGGCACCCATCGGGGGGAGCCATCCACCGAGAGGGGGGGCGAGGTCTCTCGCAACCGCGTCGGCCCAGCGCTGGCGCGACGGCCCTGGGAGGTCCGTGGCGCCAAAGTAGTCGGAATCGCCCGCGCGCTCCAAGGCACTGATGGCGAGACTGAGAACGCCGTCCCAACTCCCCCCATTTGGGGCGGCCTTGCGAAAATGGCAACGCCCTGAGAGGCGGTCGAAATGGCGGGACCCCCAAAGATATTTCCAACCACGACGATAACGCCAGGCGCTCGCCTGACCAACGTCCTCCTGCCGCTCCTGCCGCAACTGCTCCTGGGCGAGCACAGCGTGGGCGGGCGAATCCTCGAGCAAACCTTTGAGCGCGCCCCGGGAGTTGGCATTGATGGCATGCGCCCTGAGCGCCACCGGACTGGGGTCGGGACCAGGCGGGGCCTCTATGCTGGCACCGGCAGTGGCCCTCGACAGAGGGTCCTGCTAAACGCTTTGAGACCAGCCAAACTTGTGCAGTGCAATAAACGATTTGGATGAGATTGGAGTCTTTCACTCCGACTGACGAGCGAGGGCCATCGGCTCATCCAGAGGAAGCCCGACACAGGAGACTCGATGATTGGCAGCAGACTTGCCTATCGACATCACAGGATAGAGAACAGCATGCAGCGCGAGCGAAATAGGCGCTTGGCCCTTATATTGATCTACACATTGCTACACTAATCGAGCCTGACCTGAGGTGGGGCCTGTCCCGTTCCGGATGTCGGAGGTCGAAGCTGCGCGCGAAAGAAGTACAACACGCCACTCTTGAATCAACCTGGGAGGCATCATAGTTTTCGAGGAAATGGCGAGCAGGAGTGAGAACCCCGCCTGCGCCATAATGCAGCCTGCGTCATGGATGGTACCGTTGCTGAGAACGAAAACGACTCAGATTCCCCCTGGAACTGGAACAGGTGAGAACCTTCAATTGTGCCCGACGTCCTGGGAGCGGCAAGCCCGTCGAAAACGGAGCCCAAGGACCAGGGAGTCTAAACCGAAGGATTATTTGGTCGTTCCGGGGGGGGGGGGCTCAGAAGAGTTCGCCGCAGGGATCCTGCAAGCAAGTGATCGAGCCGTTGTCGCACCAGCAGTCGCCGTCGACGAAGCAGCAGAAGCGGCCTGTCCTTGAGCGGGCTGTGGCGCTCCAGAAGCAGGCTCAGCAGGGGCGGCCGCATCTGCGGCGACTCCGTTTCCCAACTCCCCCGTGCGCCGTTTCTTGGCCGCCATCCTTGCTGCCAACTGCGCATGCTCTGCCTTGCGCGATTCCACCATGGCCTTCGCCCCTGCGAAGAGCGACTTTGCCGTGGTAGTGATGCCAACTGTGAACTATTCCATCCTGGCTGTGGGCTCGGCCTCGTCTTCCACGGACGTGCCGTCTTCATCCGTGATAGCGAAGGAACTTCCAAGGTCCAGGTCGACGTCCGACGCGAAGCGTTGCTCGTCCAAGAGGTCCTCCATGGAGAGCTTTGGGCCAGCCTGCTGCGCCCCGTCTGAGGTGCCGCTGTGGCCAGCGGCCAGCAACTCGTCGTGCAAACGTCGCACCAGACCTCCATGTTCGGATTCGGCTTCGACAGGTTCGGCTCGAAACTGCAATGCATGCGTACGTTGTGCCTCATCCTCAACGTCGTTATTCTCATCATTCCCCCCTCGCTTTCCACCACATCACGTCCCGCCGCCCCAACCTCACCCCGCCCTCCTCGCCCTTCCAGAAGCCTCTCCTAGGGCCCATCCTGGC